AAAGGAAGATAAAACTACCTATGTAACTTTTGTAATGATCAACAATTAAAAAAGAGGAAATTAAATAGCAAAAATTTCCACCTATCTGTCAAACAAAGACATATATTTTCTTGATTATTTCCATGAAATACTATTGAATCCAACATTCAAAGTAAGTTAAATCTACCTATGTAAACTTTTGTAATGATCAACAACTAAAAAGAGGAAATTAAATAGCAAAATTTCCACCCATCAGGTCAAACTGAAAGAAATACATTGTGTCTTGATTATTTTCATGAATTACTGTTAAATCCGAAAGAAATACATTTTCTTGATTATTTTCATGAAATACTGTTAAATCCAACATTCAAAGGAAGTTAAAACTACCCTTGTATGTAGCTTTTGTAATGATGAACTTCCCAAAAGAGGAAATTAAATAGCAAAATTTCCACCCATATGGTCAAACAGAAAGAAATATATTTTCTTTATTATTTTCATGAAATACTATTAAATCCAACATTCAAAGGATGGTAAAAACTACCTATGTAACTTTTGTTATGATTAACTTTTCAAAAGAGAAAATAAAATAGCAAAATTTCCACCCATCTTGTCAAACAAATCAAATTAATGATTTATGAAATTATTACATGGAATATTCCAGTCAGTTTCAAATTCAACATGCATAAATTCCTTTAAGAACTAGAAATGTGTCCATAGGACACTGATGCCCCCACACGCCACTGTTCTGTCAATCTTATGACTCTAGGTCAAATATTTTTTGGACTACATGTGCCACAAGTTGAAAACTAAAAACCAACAAAGGGCCATAATTCTGTTAAATTTGGTCGCAGCAAAAAATCCTTCCTTTACTACGATCTACACATTAAAGTTGTTAATCCCTGGAAGTTTAAGCAAAATCTGCCATCCGGTTTAAGAGGAGTTGCGTTCACAAAATTTCTATATAGTATATAATGAAAAAATCAACAAAGTGCCATAATTCTGTTAAATTTGGTCGCAGCAAAAATTCCTTCCTTTACTACCATCTACACATTAAGGTTGTTCATCCCTGGAAGTTTAAGCAAAATCTGCCATCCGGTTTAAGAGGAGTTGCATTCACAAAATTTCTACATAGTATAGAGTGAAAAAATCAACAAAGGGCCATAATTCTGTAAAATTTGGTCGCAGCAAAAATTCCTTCCTTTACTACCATCTACACATTAAGGTTGTTCATCCCTGGAAGTTTAAGCAAAATCTGCCATCTGGTTTAAGAGGAGTTGCATTCACAAAATTTCTAATAGTATATAGTGAAAAAATCAACAAAGGGCCATAATTCTGTAAAATTTGGTCGCAGCGAAAATTCCTTCCTTTACTACCATCTACACCTTAAGGTTGTTCATCCCTGGAAGTTTAAGCAAAATCTGCCATCCGGTTTAAGAGGAGTTGCGTTCACAAAATTTCTACATAGTATCTAGTGAAAAAATCAACAAAGGGCCATAATTCTGTTAAATTTGGTCGCAGCGAAAATTCCTTCCTTTATTACCATCTACACATTAAGGTTGTTCATCCCTGTAAGTTTAAGCAAAATCTGCCATCCGGTTTAAGAGGAGTTGCATTCACAAGATTTCGGGACGTACGGACGGACTGATGGACGGACTGACGGAATGACGGACGGACGGACAAGTGCAACGCTATATGCTCCCACATTGTGGGGGCATAAAAATAATCATGCAGTCTTAATAAAATTCTATATGTGTTAAATAAATAAAATTGTACCATAATGTGTATATTTTATGCTGCACTAATTTATTCAAACAAACTAAAACAAAGAAGTTTTTTTACTTACACGTTTTCACTCTACGCTAAGATTATCTAGTACAAAAAAATAAACCATATTGATTATTTTTTATATCTTTTTATCGATTTATCACGTGAGTTATGTCACCAGTAAATATGATGCGGAGTTAGACATATTTGTATGTGCATAATGTCACTGGAATAAAGACTGATTTAGAAGCCAGGAAATATAATATTTATGAACTGCTTAAAGGGGAAGGACAATATACACATAAGGATTGATATATCAATAGCCCAAAGATGGCCACGAATATACTGTTGCTCGGAGATTCACATATGTTGTCCGAGATATGTTGTCAGAAGATCCAAAGATAACGGAGGATGAAAATTGTCATATGAATCATTTCAGACATAATTTGAGCCGCGTCACGATAAAACCAACATAATGGGTTTGCGACCAGCATGGATCCAGACCAGCCTGTGCATCCGCGCAGTCTGATCAGGATCCATGCTATTCACTTACAAACCCTATAGCAAGTAGAGAAACTGATAGGGAACAGCATGGATCCTGATCAGACTGCGCGGATGTGCAGGCTGGGCTGGATCCATGCTGGTCGCAAACCCATCATGTTGGATTTGTCCTGACGCGGCTCATTAACAAAGAAGACATTGTTGAATTGATAGAGCGTTTACGCTAAATGAAAATCAGAAAGTCAGTATTTTTGGATACAGCAGAGGGAGACTGATTTATTTACGAATCACATTTATGATGAACTTATTTCACACTAAAATGAGGATTTTTTGCGACCCATCTACCTTATCGTGGCAATGATCTGGATAGTTTGGGTAATGTTACCGCAGAGGAAGTGGGTCAACATCTAATTGCAACTGCCACTCGCTTCCAAGGTAGAAACAATCTACAACATGTGTGTATAATGCAGCTAGTTCAAAGACAGCGCACACAAAATGCAAACACTACACTTTACAATGCAGAAGTAAAATAGGTCAATAAATTAGCACTAAAAAACACTAGAAGTCTTCATCAGGTATCATTTTGGAAACTAAGACATTATGCTACACTAAGTCTAGATCTTTTGAAACCAGATGGTGTTCATCTTAATGATGATGGGAAGAATTACATATATCATAATATTAGAGGGGTCATCATTCGATGTAAATAATAAAGAAATATTCTGGATTATAACAGCACAACAACGGAATGAACCATACAGTTTATGTTGTGTAAAAACTTAGAAGGTCCGGTCAACAGTAGCCAGAAGCCATTATCAACATAATATAATTACTACCAACCAGGGTGGTTTCGAAACACATCTATAGGAACATACTACATGTTACCTATAGCACATTACAACAGTGTATAGGACATTACTACAAATAATATTTTTGTATTGTTGATCATACAATACATAAATGTGTATTTTAAAGCTATTTTCAAACAATAATATCATAATATAATAAATACTTACATTAAACTATATGGTAATACTATAGGATAAAGGACTTAAAGAAAACTTGAAAATTAAATTGATTATATTATTAGTTATATTTTTTGCAATTTTATGTATTTCTCTTATGGTTAAGAATAGGACATCTTAACTAGGTAATATAATATAAGTTTTCATTATATAGAATATAAAGACATTACATTAAGCATTGAGCATTCTTATTCAGATTCAGATGAGCAAACGAAAATCAACCAGCAAGTTCAGATTCAGATGAGCAAACAAAAATCAACCAGCAAGTTCAGATTCAGATGAGCAAACGAAAATCAACCAGCAAGTTCAGAATCAGATGAGCAAAGGAAAATCAACCAGCAAGTTCAGAATCAGATGAGCAAACAAAAATCAACCAGCAAGTTCAGATTCAGATGAGCAAACAAAAATCAACCAGCAAGTTCAGATTCAGATGAGCAAACAAAAATCAACCAGCAAGTTCAGATTCAGATGAGCAAACAAAAATCAACCAGCAAGTTCAGATTCAGATGAGCAAACGAAAATCAACCAGCAAGTTCAGAATCAGATGAGCAAACGAAAATCAACCAGCAAGTTCAGATTCAGATGAGCAAACAAAAATCAACCAGCAAGTTCAGATTCAGATGAGCAAACAAAAATGAACCAGCAACTACCGATCAACCTCTCCTAAAGCACAAAAGTCTATAGCAGAGCTAGATGATATAAAACCCGCTGTGACACAGACAGTCTTATAAATACTGAAGGAAATGGGAGTCCTGGAAGACAAGGAACAATTGTAAAGTTCCACACAACAGACAGATCAATCCACCTAGCCAGCTCTATCAACCATCGATATAAAATTACGTTTATTTTCATGATTATTTTCATGAAATATTAATAAATCAAACATTCAAAGTAAGTTTAAAAATTAGGTTATATGTAAAATACACTTTTTGTAATTGTTCACTGAGCAATACTACTAGTCAAAAGTCTGTAGTTTCACAATGAAAAACATGAATGTATTTTTCTATGCAAGTCTTTACATACAAAGTGACCTCTAGGGTGTGATCAATTTGACACAACAGGTAATGACTTTCATATTTTTTTTAAAATAACCAAGACAGTAATTTATAAAAGGAAATAAAAGGACCACAAGGTGATCATGATGCTGCAAAGCCAAATATCATAGCTCTTAGTGTTGTCAAGTCCGAGAAGAAGAATTTTAAAGAATTCATTTTAAAGTCTATTTTTAGCTTCTGTGACTAACTTCTGCAACTAATTAAAATCATTTCATCTCATTTACATCACTTTTGAAGAGGGTCACTTCAGGATCATTCATGTAATGCTTGTTCCAAATCCACCAAGTGGTTAAGGAGATGTAATTTATGTTTAGAAAATGTAGAAAGTGGCAGGCAACTGAAGACAAACTACTGACACATTGCCATCACAAAAGCTCACCTCTAAGCACTTTGTGCTCAGGTGCCATTTGTGCTCATAAGAGCTACGAGTACAAAAATACCCTAATGGTTTTGTAATGCTAAATAACATTAAAAACATTATGCTAAATTTGGAAAAAAAAATCACCAAAAATATACACTTCTGTTAAAAAAAAACAAAAAACAAAAAAAAAACTCTAACATAACTCTGTCATAGGTAACTTTCAACTCCACAAAATGGGCTAAATTACACATATCATTTATTTGCCATACCAGACTGCAACATGCAAATCCTAATTTTTCCCTTTTTTTTTCAAAAAAAATATTTTTTTCTTTGTTTCCAAGCAAAATTGCAAAAAGAAATTTAGCCCTGAAATAGAATTTTAAGTTTCCTATAGCATGAAATAGTTTACACTAATACACATGAAAAAGTTACCTACACATTGAAAACTGATATTGCACTGCTGACATGAATTCATTTTAGTGGGAAGTGGCAAAGAAACAATATGTCAATGTGGTTATTTCCAATGCTGCAATTTGAAAAATAGTTATAATATAACACTTTTTGACCATAAACTAAACCACTGAACAGACATCTACAGTTTCTGGCTTTGTAAAGCCATCACCAAACCCGACAGTTTCAACTAAATCAGGTATATTATCACACATAGGACATTTCTTATTTCTAACAATAGAGGCCCTCATCCATAATATCAAATTAAACCTTTCTCCTGATGTGATAGATGCTGCTCCATGCATGTGTTGTCCTCTATGAAGCACACCTGCCGTTGGTTGATGCTCAATCTCCTTATATCGATCAACAGCAAGTTCTGTTCTCATAGCACCAAAGTAAAGATTACCTCCCTTGTACGAGTCTTTGGGTGACAATGCTATATTTAGTGTGACCTCAGCGTTGTCATAGTGATATGCAAGGTCAAGGTCCTCTCCAACTTTATATTGCACTACAAATACCTTGTGGGAATCGAGCTCACCACCTCCTAGATCTGGGTACAGCAGCCTGGTGATTGGTTTCAGGTATTGCTCTCTTAGTTCAGTGAAGAAAGGATCGAAGCCTAGCTCTTCTAGAAGCACCTTTGAAGAAAAGTATGAACCATGATTATTTACTTTTTAAGGGTTTTAAGTCACACTGACAAGTTGTAAAGGTAATATTGCAGCTTTCCAGCCTTATTGGTGGGGAAAGACCTCAGGTGCCCACTTGAGCATCATTTCAGATATAAATGGGCACCATTGAAGATTAGTAGTACCACTGACACTCCATATAACAAACAAAATTCAATTGTGATATCATACAATTATAGCATTCCCATATTTGCAAGCCAACTGAGAAATAAATAAATTTGTAACAATGGCATGAGGATCAAGTAAATATAATTTTTAATATAATTGTTTAAACACTGTTTTTTGAAGTTTTATGTCATTAGCTCTAAAGTTCGTTGTTTTTTTTCAATTCAAAAATAACAAATTATCATAAATACTAGCATAATGAATACTATTAAAAAGAAATATGCAAAAATGATCTTCTTCTCTTAAATAAACAAACTTGAAAAAATTATCTTAATTCTGCTACAATTATAAAATAGAAGATACATGCATCAATATCAAGTCAGTTTTACAATAAATACTCTTTATCAGGAATGCAAATACATTGATTATCTCAGAAATTTCTTACTGAAATACTAGTTAGAAAAGATACTTTAATAAAAAAAAATCTTTATTAAAAATAGACACAATGATACACAAAATAGAACTATGGAACTAAATAAAATATATTCTGTTTACCCCATATTTAATCATTGTGTTAGGCCGGCCTTTTGGAGCATCACTCTGTTCAAAATGATGCACTTCCTCTAGAAACAGTTTACAAAACTCGTCTGTGAATACTGGAATAACATAGCTTCTGGAAACTTAAAAAAAATAGTATCAAATTAGTTATTTGGAAGGTCATATTTATCTAACTGGTATCAATTATTACATTAAAGATATCTTTTGTTACTAATGTATACACTGTAGGGGCTTTATGACAACTGTCTATCTTTCCTGGTGAAGGAAGACCCTAGTAGAAGAAATTTCCTTCCATACATTAGTACGATAGCTGCCCAACACAAAGCGTCCAAAGTCCCTGGCCAGATTCAAACCCACAAGGATGAGGGAGATAAAATTGGCCATCATAGGTATATGATAGTTTATTGAAAAAGGTTGCTGATCACCTAGTGATACATGGAGGCCACTGGCACCATATGGTTCAACTGTGAATACTTTGACCTACTAACCTCAAAATCAATAGTCATGTAAACCTATATGAGCAGCACCATGACAAAACCAACATAATGCGTTTGAGACCAGCATGGATCCAGACCAGCCTGCCCATCGGTGCAGTCTGATCAGGATCCATGCTGTTCGCTATCAGTTTCTCTACTTGTAATAGGGTTTGTAAGTGAACAGCATGGCTCCTGATCAGACTGCGCGTATGCGCAGGCTGGTCTGGATCCATGCTGGTCGCAAACGCATTATGTTGGTTTTGAAATGGCGAGGCCTACACAGCAAATCTTATGTCTGTTCAGTCTCTCGATGTTTAAGAGAAGAAAAGTTTTAAATTGTATACTAGGACCATAAAAGGAAAACCCATGACCCACTGTGACTGCCTAATTTTGACATCAGAAGTTTAAATTTAATGAAATTTTAGGAAATTCTTACTGAATTTGACTAATTAAGTTTAATTTTACAAACATGGATGAAACTGAAAAATACAAAGAAACCACACATCAACACCAGGCCCTGAGTACACTAAGAAAATATCAGAATCAGGATAAAATTATCCTGATTTAATTTGATTTGTTTTATATAAGACTAAAATTGATTGTATTTTGCTAGAATTAAATGATACTTATTCAAAATATAAAACAATGCTTATTTGCAAAGAAACAAACCTATTTTGTGATAAAATAGACAAATAGGAACACTGATACAAAAATAATAGAATCAAAGTAAGGATCAAGATTAATATTTGGACCAACTGTAAAATGCCCATTTCTTGTGAAAATAACAATAAATTTATTCAAAATAATCATAAACATGCTATTTAAAGTCCAATTTTATCTAGTTGATATTAAATATTTAATATGTGGATCAGCAAATTGGAGAATATTTGAGTTTTTAAATATGAGCCTGATCCTTAAATCTTTCTGATTAATATGGACAGTATTTTAATTGAGATCTATCAGTTTTGAACACATCTGGTTCTTCATCAGAATTTATTTTATTGTGATTGTGTCTGAAGCTATATGCTTATACACATACTCCAGAATTTGTATCATATGAATGCAGTGATTAAGGCCAATTTTTTTTTATATTTTGGTTTACTGATTTTTTCCAAAAAAAGGTAGGGTCGGCGGCGGGAAAAAAAAAAAAAAAAGTTTTCATAACTATAAATGTGGTGCATACATATACATAGTACTTACTAGAGCAATGAAATTAAATAAATCGCCGATTGTCTATTCCAAAGATTGTTTAAATACACAAAAAAACAACTTTTGCTCATATTGCCATTGTTTAAAAACACACATGAAATCTACACACAATGACTTATGACAAGTGGCAAGCGAGCTCTTCAAAAGAATCTGTCATTCTTTGATGTTTACACACTGCTGTGTAATCTGAATCATCAAAGGTGCCGAAAATCAGCTGACTTGCACTCATTTCTTTATAGATCAGATGTTAAAAAAAACTGTCAAGAAAAGATTACACAAAGTCATGTTCAATTTTGCCCATTGTGAAAATATTTTTATCGGATAATTAGCGGGTCAATTTTTGACATAAAAATCTATTAAAAGTAAGTGCGGGCATTTTTTTTAATTTTGTTTGTTTGAAACCTGTATTCAATCTGCTTTTAAAGACTAATTTTTTTTGTTAAATCTGAAAATACTGATCTTGTCAATTGCAGCAGATTTCTCTCGCTCTGTCCTTGAATGTAATTGCTTACGTAATTTGGCGTGTTTTTTTTTGTTTGGTTGTTTTACATTTTTACGCATTTCGACCTTCAATGCATTGATGAAATATGATCAAAGTCTAATTATAATTCTGTGAGAATGGCTTGACCCCATTTAACAGACATTCTTTCATAATACACCAATAAACACTTTGCCCAACTAGCAGACGACAGGCTATTCTCGAGTAAAGATAACCCAGGGCTTGACACTAACTTTTTTTAGGGGTAGTCAGAAGGACTACCTACTTTGAGGATCAGGTAGTCCTTGGCAAATCTAGGTAGTCCTCATTGTAAAACATAAAAAAATGTTCTTATTCTATTTAAATGCATTTTGAGTGTATGTATCTGAAGATAAGAAAACAATAGCATAAGATCTCTTCAAATTTATTCGAAAAAATCACCAATAGATAAATCTAGTAAAAGTTTGTAAGCTTTATTATGCATGAGATGTAGGTTCCGGCTAGCCTCTGAGCTCTTCAAAGTCATCATCAACAATTTTTTTACATATTTTTGTTATAAAATATGGCAGTGTGACACACAAAAGTCATTAGGTTTTGAAAGGCCAGACATTACCTACAGGTACAGGGTTCTAGCCAGGAATTACAAATAAAATTGCTAGGCAATCAGCTCAGCTTATATTATTGACAGCTTATAGGGAAGGGGAGAATATATTGGCAATACGAGCTAAAGAAGTATCTGTCAGTTTTAAATTTATGTAATACCTGGCTTTTGTATTAAAAAAATATTTCAATAAAGCTTACAAATCTACTTTCAGGTATAGATAATGTATGACCTTTTAGATGTGTTTTTAAATTCAAAACAGAAGTAAAAAGCTTGGACAAGAACAAAATATGTTTGTCTTTACTCTAATTGATTTATTCTACAAACTTATTTTGTCAGACATAAAACAACAAAATATCAGAATAACAAACTTTTACTAGTGCTAGTAATTCAGTTATTTAACTGTCAGAAGATTTAAATAGGGACATTAGATTAATATCTGTTGTCCCTGATTTAAACACGAAATTAGAAATGTAAAGCCATTTTTAATCAAACTATATTGCCTTAGTTTTTTATGCCTAGGGTATAAGTATTTGTTTTTTTCTTCATATACATGTATTGGCATTATTGCTTACATTTGCTTGTACATGATTAAGAAGTGCTTACAACATTGTGAAGTTATTGCAAAGACAATTATAAACACTTTAGAATATTTCTTTTCTCTTTTTTAAAGAGATTTAAACATTTTTCTTCTCTTTTTTTATAAAGAGATTTTTTCCCAATCAATAATTTCATGTTCGAATAAATTACATCCGAAATCAGATCTATTTTAGACAACACGTTTATTTTGGTTATCATTGTCAGTGTGATTTACATCAATCAACAAATCATATTCTTTTAAGTTTAAACCCTTGAATAGGTTCCAATATGAGCAAATATTTTCATTGAAATGTTTAATAGACAAAGAATTCTATTGAAGTATGCTGGAAAAATCGGCAATTAAGTTGGACTTCCGGTTTCACTTTTCGCAAGTTTATAGAGATTAAATAGAATCTATTATGCGTCTGCTGTGACTGACACTGATTGACAATTATATTGAGAAAGTATGTGACATGCTTGGATAGATAAAATTGGTTTGTTTATTTAATAATGATATTGATTTATTAAGGGATGTCGAGAGATTAAACGGATGACGCAATTATACCTCAGTGCCTGAAGGCATGTCGTGCGCTTAATGTTTACAATCATTTGTGACCCAACGGCTAATTATTTACTAGTAAGATGAATTTATCTTTCGTTTTGAATCATAGCCTAAAAAAATGTTATTTTATTAATTATTTTAAGTGAATTAAGAGATCAGGTCACTGAAATTTTGAGTAGCCCGACGGGATACCCAGCTTGGAAACTCGGGTAGTCCTTGGGGAAAATAGGTAGCCTCGGGCTAACGGACCATCGTTAGTGTCGAGCCCTGTAACCGGTTGCGTGTATAAATCGTAGGTAAAATAGTCTGGCATGTGGTAGGTTTAACAGTTAATTAAAATACTTACCGCGACATTTCTTTGACAAGTCGTATTATTAGCAGCGTATTTCAAGACAACACAGAATTTTTTTGGGGGCAGATTTTTTTTTTTTTTTTTTCATTTTCCCAAAATACAGAGTCGGCGGGTCTGTAAACCGAAATATCAAAAAATAATGGCCTAATCTAGAAATTCCTTACAATGTGTTGCATGACACACAAGTTTGAAAACAAAAAGAGTCCTGTAGCAAATTCAATGAGTCATGTAGCAAAGTAAATGCGTTATTTCACCATTGTACTGTAGGCGTTTCGCTCTCATGCAAAAGGGACGCTCTGATTGGCTAATGCCGATAATCGGCGGTTACCGATAACAAGCAACAATTGCTTTGAATTTAACATTTTAAGCAAATGGGGGATGAGTCTTGCACCTGTAATCATCGGAAACATACCCATATTCAACTAAAAAAATTGATACATTATTCAACTGATGAAATTAAAGTTATCAAACGGTACATAGAAATCACTAATTGTGTTTTTGGATTATAAACTACCAGATTTGCATGCGTCAAATTGAACGCACATATTTTAAAACTGTGCTTCTTTTTCGATTTTTATGCGTATTTTATGCAAGACACACACCTAGATTAATCACTGTGACAGACGAGACCGAGATTATGAGGTATTACACCCACTTTCAGTATAGGTGTACACGCTGGTACAACAGAAATATATTTTGATGAAGAACTTATTAATCTCATTACGTACATTATAATCACATACATGCATGTATTAAAATGATTTTACAAAAATGAGATGACAATAATTTAAATAAGTAGCAGGGCTGCAGATAACATGCGTATTTGCGTTATTACCCAATTAAAATGTCTAAAAACCCAATAGAAATAATAACTAAGGGTAAGAAAAAGTAAATGAATTCTTATTTATACAAACTACATTTGAACTGGTGCGTTATGACGAAAATTATTACTTAACGCGTACATCAGGCAGATCATACTGTTTCAGACTGTTTTAACCTTTAAATTATATAAGGCAACTTGGAAATCTCCTAGGCCAATAATCCATAAAGCAAAGTAGTAAGTAGCTTTTTTATAACCGTACAAAACCTACTAATGTCTACAATGAAGGTCAAAAATTTTGGGTAAAATGCATGAACTTGTACTTTATAACCCAAATTGGTTAGAGGGGGTAGGGTAAAAAATACAGAAATAACTCAAAGAAAATAGAAAAAACCCAATAGATCACAAAATAAGGGGTAATTACCCAATATACACAAAATATTATCTGTAGCCCTGAAGTAGTATAATTATGTAGATATTGATATTATTGCATGTTAACTGAATGTTTTCTCCGATAATGGATGGTTGTTACATGTACGTTAACTCAATAATTGTATCATAGTTTGGAGACCTTTCTGTTGAAAATGTGTCAGGGTTAAATCGTTTACATATACATGCACAGTGCGTTAACTGGAGTGCGGGTATTAGTTACCCGCACTTCAGAGCATGCCCATTGATTGGCTCATTTTTGCTGGGGTTTACATATTGTGGCGGCAGAGAAAGGGAAAGCGACAGAAATGTCATATTCAGATGTTCGTTCATTGGTTCATTTTTGCCGGGGTTTCATATTGTGACAACAGGGAACGTGCTTTTATGTTTGGCTATGATACAAAAGAGAAAGAACACCAAAACACTCGGCAATCTGATTAATACTCGGGGGCTACGCCCCCTCGTACAAATCAGATAGCCTCGTGTTTCGGTGCTCTTTCTATTACTTATCATTATCTTCAATTCAAGTTTTTCTTTATATGTTATAATCAATCAAGTTTATGAAAACATCGTATTGAACTGAATTGCTTTAATTAATTAATTGAATACTCTGTGATTTTAATTAACATTTGTCCAATGAACAAGCTTGCTGCTGATCCCTGACCACATGAGTTAAGCAACGACTGCTTAATTTTAAAAGATAAACCATTTACTAGTAATTTATTTGGTCAATTTAATTTGGGTACTATAAGTCAAATTAGAGAGAAACTTCTTCAAATTGACAATAAATCCTTTTATTTTGTCCTGAATTTTCGCTAAACCAGCTGTTCTTTGTATGCATCACCGGTCAAGTACCTTTTTTCAGTAAATCCAATATGCAGAGATCTGCCGAGGACGCAATATATCTGCAGCCAGACTAATATCATATGAAAACAAAACTGTCTGTTGGGTTATTTAGTCATCCAGTCAAAACTGGTACCAACAGATTCCCCTGTAATTATGCATATTCTCAAGTTTATCCATTTCCCTATAGCTTTTTCCACGTTATCTACTTACCCAATCCCTTTCCCACACAGTACCATAAATTTAATCCAGTAAAACAAAAACAAAAAATCATAAATCTACTTGATATTTAAAATGATTATTGATAACTGAAAAATAACTGAAAACAAAATGTGTTGCTATTTTAAGAAATGCTATAATTTACAGCATAATCTGACAGGTGTTCAACTTGATTTCCCCTAAGGTCACTCAAGTTCACTGATGACGTGTAAAAATTAGATGGCCATTTCCTCATCAGAATATTTGACAGGGTGCATTAACCAATCAAGGAAGCACTGATTATGACTTTTTTCATGATCAAAAGGTCTGTCGGTGTAGAATGTAGGACAAAGCCCCACCAGTCAAAACCCCACACCTCAAAATTTTATAGAGTGGACAAAACCCCACACCTCAACAAAATATAGAGTACAACTAAATTAAAACTTACTTTCTAATTCTTGAATATATTCGCAAACACCTTCAAACGTAGCATCGGCATCTTTACAGTACTTCACAAGTTGTAAAAACTTTGGTGACAAAAAAAATTCCTGAAAACATAAGAAACAAGGGGTTAGTATCTCGAAGCTATCGTTATATTTGCGTTTACGAACGTGCTAACGATTGACGGAAGGTTGGTGAACGAGAGACTAGCGCGGGTATCTCGAAAGCGATAGTTAAGTAATCGTTCGTTCCTTACTCGTTAGTTATTAACGATTGAATTATGTAAAAATTGCAAATGTTGAAAATTCCTATGAACTTGACGTGATTACGATTGAAAGGTAAAAACTTAAAATAGAAACAGCAAGACTAGTAACTGAGGGAAAACGACTGTAGACTGACGATTGTGCAGTAAAGAATATTTTAAACACTTTACTAAGTCAAAACAAATATTCGGGCCGAGCTTCTTCTCAATACCCTCCCTCATTTTTTTCAGGCTACAGCAATTAACATGTTTCAGGGTGTAAGTATACTCCCAAGATTCAAACTTGAAAAATGTTGCTTTCATGGATGAAATATTGGAATTGCAAATATCTAAATGAATGTAAATAGCGAACATTCAGTCGTCATAATGTATATTTTGAATACTAGTAGTCGGTTTATTTAAACACATATAATAAGGACAATAAATTAAGATTCAAGTTAGTCCATAACTCGGCTTAGTATACAACGTAAACGCTTAATCTCTCCATAATTAATCTAGAATTTCTTTTTTCTTATGTAAGTTAAAAAAACGATCGTGATATACCAGTGACAATGCTTATTTCTATGATAATGATGATATTACAACGACGACAGCGACGATGGGTTAAGTTTTAAAGAAATATTAAGATGTTTTCCGTTTGAGTGAAATATAGAATATGTTCACGAAACATGATAAATTTCCATATATTTTCACGAGCTGGAAATCTTAATTTTACTCTTTTAAAAGAACTTCCGATTTCAAAGCTTTATAAATTCGTTATAAATATTCCTGACAAGTTATATGGCCGTATATAAACGGTTGATTGCAATATAAACCTCGCCTGACGGCTCAGGTTATATTTACAAACAACCGTTTATATAAGGTCACGCAACCTGTCTAATATTAAAAAATATTATTTTCAGTGGATATTCACTAAGTCCACTTCAGTGTTGTTATATTTTTCTGGTCCTTCGGGATCATTGATGCCAGCACTATTAAGTGTTGAGAATTGAGTACCGCTCAAGCCGGTGCTAGGGGGCGTGAGTGATGTTGCACGTATTCATTACCCCTCATGAACAGACTCAATCAAACCGAGTCAGCAGTTCTCTTGTGATTTTGTTGTGATTAATGCTTCCGAGGGATCACTTTGTTTCCAGATTTTTATATAATCTTCTGTTAATTTATGGATACATTTTCATTTTGTCTTTAACAAAGGATTAAGAAAGGATTATGTATTACAAATTTAAATATAGCAAGTAAAAATATAACAGCTGGTGTTGGCAAGAGCAAAATATTTCAATCTGTTACGTTAAACAAACAAAATTTCCATATATTTCATGCCTATCTGTTGTACTGATTTTTGCAGCGTAACGTAATGCATTTTTCTTCATGTCATTAAATCATTACATCACAGGTAACTTTTCGAAATATAATTCTGTAAAAAGTACCGAATTTTGTTACATTTTTAACATTATGTACATGCAAATATTTATTTATATTGTCTTGTGCAAAATTACACATTTCAGAGTTTATTCCTTTCGATGCTTCAGTTATTATATGATTTTTTTTCATCTGCATTTAAATATACATCTTCATGTAAACTAAAAGAGCTCTTACATATGTTTGATATGTGAGAAAAAGAAATAAAATATCATATTTATGTAGGTTCATCATTTTTATCAATAAGGTGATATAATTCTCATTTTTTTGTGTATTTTAAATTCGAAGTATTCTTCCTTTTGTGCCAAAGTGATAGTAACGAGAGCTATACGACACCTTCAACGCAACCGTTAATAATTGGGCATTTTAACGATTATTCGTTAATTACGAGAGTTTCGAGATACCAGTAAAAACCTTAACGAGAGGCTTACGACAGTCGTTATGCTAACGATAGCTTCGAGATACTGACCCAAGAACCGGTTGAACCGGGTGATGCTCCCCGAGAAGGTTCTGGACACAGGAAAGTATAAAAAAAATGAACAAAGGGCAAAAACTCCAAAATTAGGCAAAGCGGAGTTATGTTTTTTTGCACTGCACTTCTATTCAATGAGATCTATCTATCTATAAAGTTTCCTGATGATATCAGAATTATGTTTCAGGTAAAAGTCAAAGTGTAAAAATGAACAAAGGGCAATAACTCCAAAATTAGACCAGGCTTTGTTTAGGTTCTTTAAGCATTGCAATTCTATCCAATTATATCTAGCTACCTACAAAGTTCATGTTGATATCTCTAATAGTTTTAAAGTATTGTCCAGGACAAAGTCAAAAAGTAAAAATAAACAAAGGGCAATTACTTCAAAATAAGGCAAGGCAGAGTTACGGTTCTTGTGCACTGCACTTCCACCCAATGAGACCTATCTATCTACAAAGTTTCATGTTGATATCTCTTATAATTTTAGAGTAATGTCCCAGACAAAGTCAAAGTGTCAAAATGAACAAAGGGCAATAACTCCAAAAGTAGGCAAGGCAGAGTTACCGTTCTTGTGCACTGCACACCTACTCAATGAGATCTATCTACTTACAAAGTTTCATGTTGATACCTCTTATACTTTTAGAGTTATGTCCCGGACAAAGATCAAAGTGTAAAATAAACAAAGGGGGATAATTCAAAAATAAGACAAGGCAGAGTTACTGTTCTTGTGCACTGCACACCTACTCACTGAGATCTATCTACCTACAAAGTTTCATGTTGATACCTCTTATACTTTTAGAGTTATGTCTCGGACAAATTTCAAAGTGTAAAATAAACAAAGGGGGTAATTCAAAAATTAGGCAAGGCAGAGTTACGGTTCTTGTGCACTGCACACCTACTCAATGAGATCTATCTACCTACAAAGTTTCATGTTGATACCTCTTATACTTTTAGAGTTATGTCCCGAACAAAGTTCAAAGTGTAAAAATAAACAAAGGGGAATAATTCAAAAATTAGGCAAGGCAGAGTTACGGTTCTTGTGCACTGCACACCTACTCAATGAGATCTATCTACCTACAAAGTTTCATGTTGATACCTCTTGTTGTTTCAAAGTTATGTCCCGGACAAGAAAAGGGGACGGACGTACGGACGGAGGAAAGACGGACGGACGGACGGACAAGGCGGCGACTATATGCTCCCCCGAAATTTTTTCGGGGAGCATAAAAATTGTTTTATCAAAGTTTGAATCATTTCATAAATAAATGACAAAGTTGAGAAAAAATACGCAAAATTCAATCATCTGACCTTTACAGTCAGTCATTTAAAGCTCAAGGCAATATTTAAATTACACAAGATGTCCTTGAAGCTAATAAAGTATGATAACCAATTACATGAAGTCAAATTCATCACAATCTTAACAACAATCTTATCAAATCTGACACTTGTATTTTCAGCTTTTATGTGACCTCTAACCTAACAATCTATAGGGGTCATCATTCTGTAGGTCACATTACAACCCAACAATACATCTGTGACTTTTGGCAATCTCAGCTAGTTATACCACGGATTTATATTACAAGGATCGGACACTTTCGTTTCGCTTAAAGTCCCGTCGCGCGCATGCGCATGTTATTGCAGCTCTGTGAAAAATTATACCAGGGCTCTCGTAAGCATTTTGAGACTGGGGCCAGGGTCCATGCAGGGGGGGAATTTTGCATGATTGTCAAATATTTTTCATCCAAAGGGGAATTTCCACAGAGAAAGATTAATTCAGAAATCGGATAATAAATGGAAAAGCTACATGGTATTTTGTAAAAGTAGGTATCCGTTGCGAACGGGCATTTTCGCTTAGCGCCGATAAATTATCGATCGATGTACCTTTATCGGGTGCACGACAAGATATTTAAGCATTAATATAGGGTTAACTGGGAGTGTCCTATCCCTGTAATATAAATCCGTGGTTATACATACCTTAAAAACAAATATCTCTGGATGTAGAGGCCGATATGTCTCTTCTATCATTTGAAGCCTTTGTAAACTATCAAAACCAAGTTTTCTCCGACGGTCAACTTCATCTTCTATCTACAAAATGATTACACCAAATCAAACTTAAAATCTTCCAGGGCAAGTTATGTTTATACATAATTTTTTTTAGTTTGCTTTAAGTGTTTAGACACACCCTCACCAAGTTCTTAGCAATAAGTCTAAAGTTTCTTGCTCAAGGAAACAATAGCTTGCCCTTGATGGGGTTTGCTCTGACAGGGTGAGCAATTCTTAGATAACTAGTTGAATGCATTCACCCCTTAGCCTCCCCGCCACACAGTGCCAGTTGATTCTGAGATAGGAAGTGCGTAAAGTTTAAAGCAATGCGGTAAATATGGAACTTAAACTATATCAAACTTGCTGAAACAGATAAACTATACATGTGTATGTAGGTTAACCAGTCTGTACCAACAGAAAATTTTTAATTATTAGAGACCCTTAAAGCAGGAGACCATTAACAATATCTCATTAATATTTGCTGTTTACAAAACAAATTATTTAACGCTTAGTATTATTGAAAACTGACAGATTTCACCTTATTCTTCAAAACAGCACAGTTTAATCATATCTTATAACTAATATATACATGTAAATATACAGAGAAACAAATTGATTTCGAAATAACAAAAAGCAAAAGGGTTGGGCCCAAGTTCTTACAACATTAGCGATCAGCCCTCCCCAAAACAGCACCTGAGGGCCCCTATAAATTAGGGCACTGGTTAACTGAAATACAGTTTGGCAGGACAAAAATAGCAAGAAAGTGCTCCTTAGTTTCAAGTTTAGTTTATTGTAATGTAATTCTAGGCCATCGGCCCAAATACACAATATAATAACAGAAAGATACATATACATCTGATTGTGTCACAAGTTATGAAATACAAAATAGTAGCATATATATTCCATAATTTTTAACATTGTACAACAAGGTAGAGAATATACATATTACCACAACCCTTAATGTGAAACACACAGTATCAAGTTCCGAAAATGAAAAAATAAAAATAAAAAGAATACAAAAACTAGTCCTTTAAATGCATGAAAAAAAGAGAAAGAAAATCAAACTTTTGTTTTAAAACACTATACAATAGACATTCAAATGATTCATGTAGTATTCTAGAAAGAAAAAAAATATTTGAAGCTAATCAATTCTTATCAATATCAGTCATAAGTTTGGTTACATACAATGCTAAATTTTTTAATGTAGGATGATATTCGGTTTTCATTAAGTATGAGAAATTAACTGGTTCTAGTCTTCCCTTATACCAATTAAACAGATATTGTTGTCTTATACTATCAAACTTCGGACAAATAAAAAAGGCATGATATTCATTTTCAATTATTAAACGATTACTATTGATAAAACAGTATGGACATATTCTATCTGGTGGTTCAATAGGCTTACAGACACTTCACCCCCCAGACACTTCACCCTAGGCCCTTTTTTACAGACACTTCACCCCTCAGACAGTTCACCCCTCATTTTAAGAAATTTGATTGAGACACTTCACCCCTCATTTTTTTAATTTTGTGTTAAACAATTATTTATGTAGATTATGTTAAATACATTCAATAGTGATTGAGTATGTTTATTGTTTTAAGCCATTGTCTAATAAATTTTGAGTTGATTTAATTCTTGAAGTTTTGGTACTTAATTAAGTTTGATTTCAGTTTGATCCTTACCATATAATAATAATTGAGTTACGTTCATTTAGTGATGGTTTGTGCTTTAACCTTGTGCTTAATTAACATAACTGGTGCTATTTATTTGTTTAATAAATGACATTATGAATGATCTTTGTATTAAATGCAGGATAATTGTGTCTGATAATGATGATAAATAATTTATATTTACTATATTTTATAAAGCAACTGATTCATTCATTCATATTCATTTTTATTCATTTTATTTATTTATTTATTTAATTTATTTATTAAGAATAAATTTAATTTTCATACAAATATACCATTTTAATTCAATTATCTAATCAATTGTGAGATAACCGTTGAATAAACAACTAATCAACATGTGGAATAAACAAGGTGACATGCAATTAACACTTAATGGATGAAAGTGCTGTGATATATCATTTGGCAATACAACCAATTAACCTAAAACAGCTTTAAACTTAGTAAAAATAAAGGTAATATGCAAAAATTTTAATCAAATAATACTAAAAATAATAAATATAAACATATATAAGCATTTTGTTGTTGACCAACTTGTTTTATTTACTTTATAGAACAAAATTGGATGAGGGGTGAAGTGTCTTACTGATTTTGGGGGGTGAAGTGTCTTAAGGGGTGAAGTGTCTTCAAAATTTGAGGGGTGAAGTGTCTGGGGGGTGAGGTGTCTTGCTACCATTCAATCTAATGGTATGTACAAAAAATTAAATACCTGTGCAATTAACTTGTTAATCTTTTCATCGTCGTTATAACCATTTTCATCGAGTATCTGAAATATTCAATATAATTCTGTCAAAATGCTTGATACACTGTCTACAGGTTGGGGTCATGATGATGAACAAGTGTACAAAGTTTCAAAGCCAGTACTTATGTCAAATTTAGACTTTGAAAATATTTGAGGTATTACAAAAACTTGAACATAAGTGGTTATGCTCGGGTGACTACAATAGCTCTACTTATTCTAGTCGAGCTAAAAATCAGCACTTCTGGCATTTATTTCGTCAACAGTTAATTATTCTGTGGTAAGTTTGAACACGTCCGAGAGGCGAGAGGACTCGTGGCCGAGTGGCCAAGCTTTCCTAAAATCGACAAAGTTGTGCAAAATATTATCATTATTTACCTTCCTGTAAGTTTTCACAAAATGAGGCTTCTCTCTAAATTCAATATGCACGTCGAGATTTTTCAGATATATGTTTTTAAAGTAAAAACATGCACACATGTAATATTTGCGCATTTCACTCCACCGTCACCGTCACTCATCGCGTCACGCTTGAAAGCGGAACAACAACAACAACAAAGATGGCAGCCCCCATAAAGAATGCATCTGACAGCAAGGACAAACCAAAACCATACCATTATGCAACACGAATTCAACCGACGGATGATGTCGTCGAGTTCTTCGTTGAACACGTTTGTATAGATAAATAACATCAATGTTCCTCCAGTTCACATGCACCAACTTGTCAATCAGATGCTTTTCTTACCCCACCACTCACCAGTTCAGCTGTTCTGTGACAGTGAAAAATTAGACATAAAAGTAAAGGCATCTGTAATCGCCATTTACAAATTAGTATCTATTTATTACATGCTTTTCGGTGGTGTATAGAAATATATCAGTGATATAAAACTGGTAATTTCACTGTTTGAAACAGTGAAATTACCACTTTGATAATTTCACTGTTTTGAATTTAAGCCCCTTACGTTGTTTCAGTGAAATACCAGCGTGCACAGTACTGGGTACCAACTTAATGACGTGACGTCGTAAATGACATCACCTTGTATTATTATTTGGCGCGCTTTTCATTCAGTAGATCTATTAGGTTAAATGTCTTTTTAAAACGTTTCTCTGCATATAAATTATAATAAAAAGAAAATTTGTTTAGTTTAGTGCAAGATCAAAATATATTTCACCATGTGGACACCAAAAGTTCATATTTCAGTCGTGGCTGCGCCACTCGTGAAATATACCTTTTGGTACTCACTCGGTGAAATATATAGAGAATAATAGGTTGGTGCCGTGGATGGAGAAAGTTTATCTGGCGAGGCGGAGGAATTTATTGGGTGAGCCGAAGGCGAACCCAATAAATTCCGGAGCAGAGCCAGATAAACTTTCTCCATCCACCGCACCAATCTATTATTCTATTTATCCTGTCACCGTTTTTTTAAAGAATTTTTCCTTAGGCAAACTAAATTAAATCACGCTATCGGAAATGTTTGTATATAAACAAAGAAGGCCTTAATAATTCTACAACAATGCACTCGCCGTTCTTATTATCTCCCTGTGTATTTTCACATTGAGGGCGCCATTTTGTTTGAAAAATGTGATAAATATAAACAATTTTTTGTCGAATTTTGTTGTGAAAACTATCTAGAATGAAAGGAAATGGTCTAACTAAGAAAATGAATTCGAACACCAATATCTTTTATTCAGTCGTTAACGCTGTACAGACGTTTAAAGTATTGTTTACGTGACGTCACAATGTAGCGCCAAACAGCACGTGCAAAACAATCAAATCAAGTACGCTATTTTAATGTCGCAAACGAGTTAAGTTTTACATTTATTTCACTTTTAATAATTTCTATTTCGCTTGAAAAATTATAGAGTGAATTAATAAAAACAAACAAAGTTGTATCAACGTTTCCAAAATTCGTTATTCTACACACAGAAGATTTAACGACAGTTTTTATATTTTTTCTTGAAAAGTAGTCCGGCAAACATGCATACCACGTGATCAAGTGCCGTAGATCAGTAAAAATATACGGCACCTTGTTATCGGGCCAAAATTGCTACAAGTGACAGGATAAATTCCGATCTTACACTGAACTAAACAAATATCCTCTATTATATTTATTTATTCATTTTCTATTGACAGTAATCAGAGATAGATAAATCTCTCTCTCTCTTTATTTTTTTTAATTTTTTTTTTTTTTTGAAGCGGCTAGGGCCTGTACGGCTAGCCAAAAGTTATAGCTGTACATATTTTAGTCAAGTACGACTAGCCAGGACACACTGTATTGTCTAGCCGCACAGCACTTTTCAAAATTATATGAGAGTCGAAAATGCAAATTATGTTATTTGTGTCTTTAAACGAGGACTTTAACCAAGACCCCCGCATTTTTCCTCATGTGTCATTCATGTGAACTCTCCCCAGTTTTAGCGAGAGACTTTTGTCATATTTTTAAAGACTTACTTAAAATAAAGGGTATTCTCACAAATTTAAGAAATCTCCCTATTTTTGATGACAGAACTTCCTTCTTTCTTTATTGAAAATTCTAAAATCTCCCTCTTTTTGAAAAAAATCTCCCACTTGATCATGGAAAAAAGTTAACATGTATGGTGTGTTCACTTAAATTAAGATGCTCCACCATTTTGTAAAAAAATGAATCAAGGTAATGCAAGCATTGTAATCTTGATATAAGTGTCAAAGTTGCATGTTATAAGTTATAACATCATTTTTTATGCTTATGAGTTGTTGTTTTATTCGTATGAAAGATGAATTATTAAATCATGTTTTTATAATTAAGCACATGGATCAAATAAATAATCATAACGGCAAAAGAAGTTTTTTCATAATGGCATGATCAGAGGATAAATAAATCAATGAATAAATAAATAAAAAGAACATTGAAAATAAAAAAAAACGCTGAAAAGGAAAAACAATTGTATAATTTTTGAGTACAGAAGATAAATATCGAACAAAAAAGCACAATCAATTAGCCTTAAGGAATAAAAGTCTATCCAGGGACTGACAATAGAATTTTAGAATGCATATCACGGAACATGCAAACTTTCCTTAATGGTAGACAAACTTCTACTGTCGGTAATTGACACAATTATCAAAGCTCAACAACCATTATTTTCGGTGCTTTTTTCATTTTTAAAGGTGTTGAAATTTAAACTTATTGAAACAAAAAAGGATATAATCACAATTTTGTAAACAATTCAATTGAAGTTATTCAACTGCAACCAAAAGCTCTTTTTCTCGCCATCTAGAGATGACAAAGATAGATATTAATTTGTACTTTCTTTACTGTAGCCATGGCGATTAATCACTGAAAAGTAAACATATACGAAGGCAACTGCTGTTTCTTGGTTAAAATCCTTGTTTAAAGACACAAAATAACACATGCATTTTCAACTTCCATATAATTTTGAAGAGTGCAGTTTGGCTAGCCTTTTTAATTTTAATATAATGATTACTTTTTCAAATAATTGAACCAAGGTCTGCCAAAACACCCAATTATATTTCTCAAATACATGTATTACCCAAAGAACCTAATACCGGTATTGCCCAAATATGCTTAATTTTAGATTTTTTTCACATGACACACTGGTTTTATAATGAGCATAATTTACAGTTACTAATTAATAATTTAGCTGTTTAGTACCTCAATCATCAAGTGAATGATCGAAAGTCACTCATTCAAGATCTAAAATTAATCCTTTAATTTTTGTACAATAAGAGCACTGCATGGATTTAATATACATGAATTGCGTCAGGACAAAATGAACATAATGGGTTTGCGACCAGCATGGATCAAGACCACCCTGCGCATCCGTGCATTCTGATCAGGATCCATGCTGTTCGCTTACCAACCGTATTACAAGTAGAGAAATTGATAGCGAACAGCATGGATCCTGATCAGAGTGTGCGGATGAGCAGGCTGGTCCGGATCCATGCTGGTCGCAAACCCATTCTGTTGGTTTTGTCGTGACGTGGCTCAATTATGTAACATGTTATTCTTAAATAGAATTCAGTACAAACATGGAATTTTGTCTATTTCAGATGACATCGTGTGACGTGTATGCATCAGATTATGGCTCGTGTAAATGTATGTAAAATTTAATCAAAATTAATATTAATGTTATTAATATCAGCAACAGGGTTTGAATTTGACATCAGGTACATTGTTAACTTACAAAATGGAAATTGACAAATGCAAAATTAATAGCTTTTCAATAGAATTTGAATGCAAAATTAATAGGTTTTTTATGCTCCCCGAAAAGTATATATAAAAAATATAAAAGAGCATATATAGTCGTCGGGTTGTCTGTCTGTCCATCCGTCAGTCCGTCCATACTTACGTATGTACAGCCCGAATTTGTTTCTGGCCCAAAATTTTGTTATTTGAAGTCGGTACCTTGAAGGTCAAGGTCACAGCATGACCTTGCAGCAAAATTGTGTCTGGCCCATAACTTTGTTATTTGTGTCTGGCCCATAACTTTGTTATTTGAAGTTGGATTTTACAACTATTTCACAGAAATGATCACTATATTGAGACAACGTGTCGCGCGAAACATTTTTCACTTGAACTTTGTCTGTGACATAACTCTGACACTACAAGAGGTAAACCTTCATGTGTCGAAAACCTATTCGTGGAGCATCACCCGGTTCAACCTGCTCTTTTTTATGTAAGCTTGGAAACAACAGTTAATATTTCTGAAATAAATAAACAACTTTATAAATATTTGTATGATAACCAAATGTGTTACTGAGGCTTTAACTAAACATTTTCCCAATTGACATGATTGCTGAAACTTTTCCCAAATTCCCAATTGACATCATTGCTAACTGTTCCTAAAGTCCCAACTGAAACTTTTCCCAAATACCCAATTGACATGATTGCTAAAATCTTTTCCCAATTGACATAATTGCTGAATCTTTTCCAAATTGACAATATTGCTGAATCTTTTCTCAAATTCCAAATTGACATGATTGTTTGAACATTTCCCAAATTTCCATGATGTATCTTTTCCCAAATTCCCAATTGACATGATTGTTTAAACTTTTCAGTCACTTTTCCTTGCACTGCCTTAGGGATGTTGCCCCTTTTTATTATACCTAATGTACAAACTCAAACTGAGTCTGCAATTTTCATGTATTTTAGCTGTTTTTAATACTTTTGAGGGACCACTTTTTGTACAGATATTTAGGGATCTGAATGTCGATTAACAGAAAATACACTCAAATTTGTTATTGCTTTTCTATAGCATTTGGTGGAAGAGTCAATCAGTATTTTGTATATGGAAAGGAACTTGACTGTGAACATTATAAGCATGTGATGACAGCTTGTGACAACTTCTTGGAGTCTGGGGAAAAAGAATACAAGGTAAGCCAATGAGCCTTAAGACATAAAAGTAATGATAGGAGTGTTGCAATTATATAAAAAGCTAAAGAGCTCTACAAGATAGCGTGTGTGTTGTACATCTTCCACCAGAGTACTGCTAGACTTTTATACATATTTATCAGAACTAGCCTTTTTCGTGATAACCAATACACTTGAAACAGACCAAAGCTTTTCATTGTTGAAAGGTGTGCTTTTCTTATTATTAAAGATATGAGGTGTGATTCAAAGGTTTTGTCACTGCTTTATTACTTGTTTTGTAGAAGCAGAGCAACAATAAAAAGCTGGTATAAATATCTAAAATATCATATTAGTTTGGTGAACATAAACCAAATGGTTAAAAATAAACAACAGTTAAATATGGCCACCAGCGCCTAGCACCTTCACAAACAACAGTTTCTTTGACTAAGATGTGTTGGTACTAAGGCTCCCACGTTTACAATTTTTTGTAAACGTTTACACGATTGCTAAGAACTGAAACGATACCGTTTAAACGGTGGTACCTCTATGTACTATACACATCATGTATTTGAGTCGCCAAATGATGTCTTTCTTTCTATTTTTAATACATGAACAAATAAAGAATGTGAAAGGGCTCATCACGATTGAGTCAGCACACATTTTTTGCATTGTAACCCCATAATGCTGTGTGGAGGGGTGTACACCCATTTTCCGTTTGTTTACTTTGGAATAAACCACTAGAATTGATAACATACATGATTACAGGCAATGATTAAGAAATTTTGTAGATCAATATAGTCATTTCGGTTAAACGGTAAACAATATCGTAAACGTTTATGAATGAAAAACGAAACGAATCTGTTTAAACGTGTAATCGTGGGGGCCTTAGTTGGTACAAGCAGTTTTGTTGTTTAAGATTGTATCAACAGTTTCACTAATTTAGATATTTACTGGTACCAACAGTTTAACTGATTTAGATTTATTAGTAAATTACACAGCCGAGTGTTCAAACAGCCTTTGTATGCGTTTAAATGTGTGAAAAAATGCTTTAATCGTTACTATTTTAATTGCCGTAGTGGTATTTTAAAGAACATGTTAACAGTAAGAACTATCATTAGAGTACTTTAATGACCCGGTGTGGCGTGATAATCACACGCAAAATATTTATTATAAGCTGGTTTAGTTATTGCCCTTTCGTATTGTTAAGCCTTTTGTAACTTCATTGTATACATCAACAGGTAGTCCAAATCAATGTATCTTTGAAAAGTTACTTAACATGTAACATTTATCATTGTATAATGTAAAATATCAGATTAATGAATGAAAGAAAAACATGAAATAGGTAACGTTATAGATCTTATAATTAGGGCTAGTCATGGGTTGAAATTTTGTCATGAAATTCAGACCGATTCAGGAGCCGAAGTCCCGATGTGTCGAAGTTTTTACGGAAGTCCCACCAACTTCTACTGTATAAGTACCAACAGTTTCATTGATTAAGATTTATTGATACCAACAGTTTCACTGATTTAGATGTATTGGTACCAACAGTTTCACTGATTTAGATGTATTGGTACCAACAGTTTCGTTGATTTAGATTTATTGGTACCAACAGTTTCATTCATTTAGATTTATTGGTATCAACAGTTTCACTGATTTACATTTATTGGTACCAACAGTTTCATTCATTTAGATTTATTGGTATCAACAGTTTCACTGATTTAGATTTATTGTACCAACAGTTTCATTGATTTAGATTTATTGGTACCCAAACAGTTTCATTGATTTAGATTTATTAGTACCAACAGTTTCATTCATTTAGTTTTATTGTATCAACAGTTTCACTGATTTAGATTTATTGGTACCAAACAGTTTCATTGATTTAGATTTATTGGTACCAACAGTTCCATTGATATAGATTTATTAGTACCCAACAGTTTCATTGACTTAGATTTATTGGTACCAACAGTTTTCATTGACTTAGATTTATTGGTATCAACAGTTTCACTGATTTAGATTTATTAGTACCAACAGTTTCACTGATTTAGATGTATTGGTACCAACAGTTTCATGATTTAGATGTATTGGTACCCCCCCCCCTCCCAACAGTTTCATTGATTAAGATTTAATTGATACCAACAGTTTCACTGATTTAGATGTATTGTACCAACAGTTTCACTGATTTAGATGTATTGGTACAACAGTTTCGTTGATTTAGATTTATTGGTACCAACAGTTTCATTCATTTTAGATTTATTGTATCAACAGTTTCACTGATTTACATTTATGGGTACCAACAGTTTCATTCATTTAGATTTATTGGTATCAACAGTTCCCACTGATTTAGATTTATTGGTACCACAACAGTTTCAATTGATTTAGATTTATTGGGTACCAACAGTTTCATTGATTTAGGAATTTATTAGTACCAAAAACAGTTTCCCATTCATTAGTTTTATTCGGTATCAACAGTTTCACTGATTTAGATTTATTGGTACCAACAGTTTCATTGATTTAGATTTATTGGTACCAAAGTTCCATTGATATAGATTTATTAGTACCAACAGTTTTCATTGACCTAGATTTCAATTGGTACCAACAGTTCATTGACTTAGAATTTATTGGTATCAACAGTTTCACTGATTTAGATTTATTTAGTACCAAACAGTTTCACTGATTTAGATGTATTGGTACCAACAGTTTCACTGATTTAGATGTATTGGCTACCAACAGTTTCATTGATTTAGATTTATTGGTATCAACAGTTTTACTGATTTAGATTTATTGGTACGCAAACAGTTTCATTGATTTAGATTTATTAGTACCAACAGTTTCACTGATTTAGATTTATTGGTACCAACAGTTTCATTGATTTAGATTTATTGGTACCAACAGTTTCATTGATTTAGATTGATTGGTACCACAACAGTTTCACTGATTTAATTTATTGGTACCAATAGTTTTCATTGACTTAGATTTATTGGTACCAACAGTTTCACTGATTTAGATTTATTGGTACCAACAGTTTCCACTGATTTAGAGATTTATTGGTAACCAAACAGTTTCATTTATTTAGATTTATTGGTACCAACAGTTTCATTGATTTAGATTTATTGATACCAACAAGCTTTCATTGATTTAGATTTATTTATGGTACCAACAGTTTCATTGATATAGATTTATGAGTACCAACAGTTTTCAATGACTTAGATTTATTGGTACCACAGTTTCATTGACTTAGATTTATTGGTATCAACAGTTTCACTGATTTAGATTTATTAGTACCAACAATTTCACTGATTTAGATGTATTGGTACCAACAGTTTTCACTGATTTAGATTTGTATTGGTACCAAACAGTTTCATTGATTTAGATTTATTGGTACCAACAGTTTCACTGATTTAGATTTATTGGTACCAACAGTTTCATTGACTTAGATTTATTGGTACCAATAGTTTTCATTGACTTAGATTTATTAGTACTCAACAGTTCAACTGATTTAGATTTATGGTACCAACAGTTTCATTGACTTAGATTATTGGTACCGAATAGTTTTCATTGACTTTAGATTTTTTTATTACCAACAGTTTTCACTGATTTTAGATTTAATTGGTATCATCAGTTTCACTGATTTAGATTTATTGGTACCAACAGTTTCATTGATTGTAGATTTTATTGGTACCCAACAGTTTCATTAATTTAGATTTATTGGTACCAACAGTTTCATTGATTAAGATTTATTGATACCAACAGTTTCACTGATTTAGATTTATTGGTACCAACAGTTTCACTGATTTAGATTTATTGGTACCAACAGTTTCATTGATTTAGATTTATTGGTACCAACAGTTTCACTGGTTTAGATTTATTGGTACCAACAGTTTCACTGATTTAGATTTATTGGTACCAACAGTTTCATTGATTTAGATTTATTGGTACCAACAGTTTCATTGATTTAGATTTATTAGTACCAACAGTTTCATTCATTTAGTTTTATTGGTATCAACAGTTTCACTGATTTAGATTTATTGGTACCAACAGTTTCATTGATTTAGATTTATTGGTACCAACAGTTCCATTGATATAGATTTATTAGTACCAACAGTTTTCATTGACTTAGATTTATTGGTACCAACAGTTTCATTGACTTAGATTTATTGGTATCAACAGTTTCACTGATTTAGATTTATTGGTACCAACAGTTTCATTGATTTAGATTTATTGGTATCAACAGTTTCATTGATTTAGATTTATTGGTATCAACAGTTTCACTGATTTACATTTATTGATACCAACAGTTTCCTTGATTTAGATTTATTAGTACCTACAGTTTCACTGATTCAGATTTATTAGTACCTACAGTTTCACTGATTCAGATTTATTAGTACCAACAGGTTCATTTATTTAGATTTATTGGTATCAACAGTTTTATTGATATAGATTTATTGGTACCAACAGTTTCACTGATTCAGATTTATTAGTACCAACAGTTTCATTCATTTAGATTTATTGGTACCAACAGTTTCATTGATTTAGATTTATTGGTACCAACAGTTTCATTGATTTAGATTTATTAGTACCAACAGTTTCATTCATTTAGATTTATTGGTACCAACAGTTTAACTGATTTAGATTTATTGGTATCAACAGTTTCAATGATTTAGATTTATTGGTACCAACAGTTTCATTCATTTAGATGTATTGGTACCAACAGTTTCATTGATTTAGATTTATTGGTACCAACAGTTTCACTGATTCAGATTTTTTTAGTACCAACAGTTTCATTCATTTAGATGTATTGGTACCAACAGTTTCATTCATTTAGATTTATTGGTACCAACAGTTTCATTGATTTACATTTATTGGTACCAACAGTTTCATAAATTCAGATTTATTAGTACCAACAGTTTCATTGACTTAGATTTATTAGTACCAACAGTTTCATTGATTTAGATTTATTGGTACCAACAGTTTCATTGATTTAGATTTATTGGTACCAACAGTTTTATTCATTTAGATTTATTGGTACCAACAGTTTCATAAATTCAGATTTATTAACTTTATCAATGTGTTTGATTTCAGGATTACATAGTCCAATATGAGAAGGCAAAACGTGACTTCCGTGTCACAAACGCAACAGCAAATAATGTATGGGAATACAGGACCACACCTAACGCTGAATGGAACAAGCCATTAAACAGAGTGTCATTAGATGAAATTAGGTCAGAAGATGAATGTATTGCAGCTAGACTTAATATGAATCAAAATAATGCAGACATTCCAAATGAAAATACAGAGACTCTTAAGAGCAGTAATTTCAATGAGAACTCTAATAATAAGGGAGCTAATTCAAGTGACAGTTCTGATGAAACTGGAGGTATAAACATTACAAATGAGAAAGTGAATGCTAGCAACTCTAAGAAAGGCTGGTGCGCAGTGTCTTGATAATAATTGTTTCATTAGATGATGGATCACAATATTTCTTTTCTTTTAATATTGGCCTTTTATTAAGGTCTATCTGTCATATGCCATTATTGAGATACGAGTTACATTTTATTTCTGTTTTACAAAAAGGAAGAAGAAAATTAAAATTTGTAGTTTAATAATAAATTTAATTATCGGTTTGAAAAAGTTAATAAATTTATAAGTTAAATATTGTTCTTCACCTCAATTCTTACCGATCACAGTGATTTAGTAGTACTAGCTAGCTATGATAAATGGCACTGACTTATTTATTGTCAGATACCAAAGAGTGGATTGAAAGGTTTTTAGCGCAATTATCCAAAGAATACTGGGGATATCTGAACCACCCTTCACACATTCTGGTGCTTTTTTTTGCAGATTCACCTCTTAACATAATATAACAAAGTCATGTATAATTTTCCCAATTTTTTTTTTTTTAAAAAGACATAATTTATTTGAACTTTACCTGCCTATATCTGCCAAATGCTGGAACAATATTCTATTAATATTCGTTGTTTGCAAATTTATAATCATTTACAACATGAGTATTGTCACTTTCGTATGGATGTACAGCAATGATTGCATGAGATTCCCTCTATAAAGGAAAACATCATGAAAATTCCCCCACTCTCGGGGTCCTGTTCACGAAAAACAGAGAGAGAGAGAGCCCTAGGTAGAATTGTACTCTCTTGAAACTTCTGGTCACCTAAAAAATTATTTTGAAACTTCATATCACATAAGGTATTATCTTAAAACTTCTCGTCACCTAAAAAATTATTTTGAAACTTCATATCACATAAGGTATTCTCTTGAAACTTCACATTTCTCAAAATATTCTCTTGAAATTTCACATTTCCTACATGTAAGGTATTCTCTTCACTTTTCACCTAACTTGAAGGTATTCTCTTGAAACTTCACATCACCTTAGGTATTCTCTTTAAATTTCACATTTCCATTTGATATTTTCGAATATGTATTTAAAAGTATTGTGAAGTGAACAAAGAAAGTAATTTACACATCGCAAATAGCAGTCCACGTAAATTATCTAAAAGAGATCAAATCTCCACGGTGTGAGTAGAAGTATGGTGAAGAATACTGCAAAATAACTCATGTATCAAGCAGAACATGTAAATATTTACTGGAATCTTAAATATCTTTTTTTAATTTTCTTTAAATCTTTGTATATTTTTCTCAAATTTGATTGTCCTAAAATAATTTGGCTCACCTGGAGGCATGCAGCTTAAAAGAATTCAAACAAATTATCCCCTTTAAGCTTAACTGTTCAAGAATAATGCAGAGGTTAGTTGGTCTATCCTACTCGCCCAGGAACACAGTATATAAACTAGAGATGTCACGGTTAGTAAAAATGATAAACGTTTAAACGGCGACCTAATAAGTGTGTTAAAACACCTAAACAGCCATAGTAATAAAATTCTTAGATTTTATCATTAACTAGTTTCTTCATGACAAGATTTTGTTTGTATTTTTAGCCCACCTGTCACAAAGTGACAGGGTGAGCTTTTGTGATCGCTTTTCGCCCGTTGTCCGTCCGTCCGGCGTCCGTCCGTAAACTTTTACTTTAAATGACATCTCCTCATAAACCACTAAGCCAATTTCATCCAAACTTCACAGGAATGTTCCTTTGGTGGTCACCTTTAAAAATTGTTCAAAGAATTTAATTCCATGCAGAACTCTGGTTGCCATGGCAACCGATAGAAAAAACTTTAAATATCTTCTTTTAAAAAACCATAAGAGCTAGAGCTTAGATATTTGACATGAAACATCTTCTAGTGAGTGTCTACCAAGTTTGTTGAAATAAAAGCCCTGGGGTCAAAATTGGCCCCGCCCCAGTGGGTCATTGATTTTCCCTATTTGCATATAGTAAAAACTTAAAAAATCTTCTTTTAAAGAACCCTATGAGCTAGAGCTAAGATATTTAGCATGAAATATTTTCTAATGGGTGTCTACCAAGTTTGTTCAAATAAAAGCCCTGGGGTCAAAATTGGCCCCGCCCCGGGGGGTCATTGATTTTCCCTATTTGCATATAGTTAGAACTTAAAAAATCTTCTTTTAAAGAACTCAAAGAGCTATGGCTAAGATATTGAGCATCAAACATGTTCTAATAGGTGTCTACCAAGTTTGTTCAAATAAAAGCCCTGGGGTCAAAATTGGCCCCCCCCAGCAGGGGTCATTGATTTTCCCTATATGCATATTGTAAAAACTTAAAAAATCTTCTTTTAAAGAACCCAATGAGCTAGAGCTAAGATATTTAGCATGAAATATGTTCTAATGGGTGTCTACCAAGTTTGTTCAAATAAAAGCCCTGGGGTCAAAATTGGCCCCGCCCCAGGGGGTCATTGATTTTCCCTATTTGCATATAGTTAAAACCTAAAAAATCTTCTTTTAAAGAACTCAAAGAGCTATGGCTAAGATATTGAGCATCAAACATGTTCTAATAGGTGTCTACCAAGTTTGTTCAAATAAAAGCCCTGGGGTCAAAATTGGCCCCGCCCCAGGGGGTCATTGATTTTCCCTATATGCATATAGTAAAAACTTAAAAAATCTTCTTTTAAAGAACCAAAAGAGTTAGAGCTAAGATTTTTAGCATGAAACATGTTCTAATAAGTGTCTACCAAGTTTGTTCAAATAAAAGCCCTGGGGTCAAAATTGGCCCCGTACCGGGGGGGTCATTGATTTTCCCTATATGCATATAGTAAAAACTTAAAAAATCTTCTTTTAAAGAACTCGAAGAGCTGTGGCTAAGATATTGAGCATCAAACATGTTCTAATAGTTGTCTACCAAGTTTGTTCAAATAAAAGCCCTGGGGTGAAAATTGGCACCGCCCCGGGGGTCATTGATTTTCCTTATATGTGTATAGCAAAAACTTAAAATCTTCTTTGAAAAAACCCAAATAGCTAGAGTTAAGATATTAAGCATGAAACATCTTCTAGTAAGTGTCTACAAAGTTTGTTCAAATAAAAGCCCTGGCCTTGCCCCAGGGGTGTCATTGTTTTTAACTTAAAATCTTCTTTTAAAAAGCCCAATGAGCTAAAGCTTAGATGTTTAGCATGAAACATCTTCTTATGGGTGTCTACCAAGTTTGTGCAAATAAAAGCCCTTGGGTTAAATTGGCCCTGCAACGTTGGGGGTTGGGGGGGGGGGCCTATATACAGGTGAGCGACCTCAGGGCCATCATGGCCCTCTTGTTTGTATTTATCAATGATTACAATATGAGTCCTATTATAAAGTACATGTAACTATTTTCCGTTAGGATTATAAGTACCGTACATGATCAAATAGCATGCAATCGGAGAAATAAAAATAGAATGTCTTATCTTATTTTTAAATACTAAGGTAATGTTTAGAAATTTTTTTTAAAAACCGGCACTTTGTCTTATACTTCCCTCTGTTACTGGTTGTTGAGTTTCCTAACCGTTTTTTTGGCTAAAAACTGACTGCACCTGTTTAAACGAATAAACTTGACACCCTGAATATAAGCAACACAAAATTTGCATTAAATGCAATATATTAAATTAAACTGATATACTGGTATAGTGAAAAAAAATTAAATAATCATCTGTTGTTAAGGGTCTTTGAAAGTAAACATCAGTACTTATTATGGAAACATGACTTAATTAATTTAGTTTCATGTGAACACCGCCTTACTTTAAGCAGAAAAATTAACAAAGGGCAATAAATCAAGTCAACAACCATGCTAGAATTATGAGTCCTGAATGGTGATTGTCAAGTTATGATGTCAATGACATTATTACTAAGGTAAAGTCACGAACAAATGTCTTTAAAGGGAGATACAGGCAAATTTTTCATTTTTTTTTGTTTCGATTTTTTTCATTCATTATTCTGTAAATGACCTCGAAATGAATACACTAGGCAGTCACAGGAACAAAACTTTCTCCTTATAAAGAATAAAATGGTGGTTTCTTAACTTGACCTGATGGCGTCTAAATTTCGTTTAACATATAGATATATTTACGATTTAAAACCCAAAATATAGAGAATTTATATAGAAATTTATGCAGGAACTATAAAAATCATTTTAGCGTGATTTGAGTAAATATTTTTGTAATTAATTTGCCTGAGTATCCCTTTAAACGGTTGACTACTTATGAAGTCATATTATAAAGTAGTTGAATGTAAAGCTTTAAACAAATGTGTCCTGTTGATATCGACTCCTCAAGGTAGGTAAAAGAAATCACTGTACCTTCTTGCGAGCCTATAAAGTTAGCAGGTCTGCATTTACAAGCAGTTTTTACTTCTGACACAACCCCTTTTCTTAGGAGTTATTTTTTATATTTTTAACTTGTGCCTTTCCCAGAACGGGAAGTAACCTCTATAACTTTTTTAATAAACAAATAAAACAAAAAAATTTAAACTTGTTCTGCTTTTATTTTACATATCTAGATGCAATGATACATTGAGGTTTATTTAATTAAAATAGTTGGTTCATACCTGTAAAATAATGTCTAATTTT